TATTCTAAAAACATATTTAATTATAAAACACGTAATGTTAGAAGAGTTAGGTTAGTCGAGTCTGCTATTTCAATATTAATTTCATTATTTTTAGTTTACTTATTAACTCTAGCATCTGTAAATTATAATTTAGTACCTTAACAACACATGAATGGTTAATTTATGTAGAGCCAAATCCCTTTATGCAGTATAAGGAAATTAATTGAAGGTATACTTACTGACGTCAAATAATCTTGGCGAAACACCACCTCAAAGGTCAGGCAGGGAGTAGAGCTCTTGTGTGTAGGCTGCGTTCTCTCAGCTGTATGTGCTTTATATATGTCTTCCAATCTGCCCCTTCAACTGTGTGCAAATTGAGATCCTTGCGGAGGAATGTTTGTTTGTTGACTGTCGATATATTCGATTCAGCAATATCTGTATGCGTTTGCGATTGGATTTCGCAGCACCCCCAAGGCACATATTAGCGGCAGTTGCGGTAGTTGGTGAGTTGTATGGGGGTTCTGCTAGTAAATGAATAAATGAAATTGAAAATAAAACAAACAATTTTAAAATGTAAATTAAATAATAAATAAAACCAGCAAAAAATGCACAGCAAGAAAAATAAATAAACATATCAAAAAAAGTCGTGTAAAAGGATTTATTTGAGCAGGTAATGGCCGGCTTTTTATAGAAGGGCAGGCAACTGCATTGCCAAGAAGACAAAGATGCTCATTGCATTTAACATTGAGAATATCGAAAATGTACCCACTAATTGACTTATGGCGATAAATCCAATTATAAACGACGACGACGACGACGTCGACGTCGACGACAGCAACATCCGCACCGCAGATGACGCTCGACAGTCAGGGACATTCGCTCACTCGCTCGCTCGCCCGTCCATACGCCCACCCGCCCACTCGCTCGCTCGCATCACAATTTGTTTACGTGTATCAGCGCACTGTGTGTGCACCCTTGACTGACTAGCCTGGCCTGGCCTGGCCTGGTCCGGCCCGGCACGGCCCGGTCTGGTCTATCCATCCATCCGTTCGCATGGGGGTCGCGCCGCAATTAATTATTTAAGCTTTTCATTGCATTTGCTATGATTTAACTATGGCCCCTCTACGGCTGCCCTTGGCTAATTAGGCGCCTAACAGTGGATGTCAATCACAAGATTACTTTTTGTTTTATTTTTATTTTGGTTTTGGTTTTGATTTTGTTATTTTGTTTGTTTTTTTTTTTTTTTTGCTCAATCATTAATTACAACTTGCTCATTAATAATTGAGTTAATGATTTGAGCCTTTTCAAAGATTTACAGTCAATGTTGGATTGGAATCATTAAAAACGGAATTCGAGCAGGTGCAAAAAGGGCACCGAGGCACCTGGGCTAATTAAAATCGGAGATACAATTTTGCGACCAGATTTGTGGTCGATATACACATTAGTCAAATTGTCAATTATGTCATTAGCTTCCCGCTTAATGCCCACTGTACGGAAGCTACGCTCGCATCAGCTCGAGCCACTTTGAAGAGCATCAGCAGTTGCTGCTCGGCTGCTGCCGATCGCTTAGTCGTGGACCAGTGATCGGCCAAGCGCGTTTAGCCGGGATAATACCACACAGATTACGGGCAGCTAACTGTATCTATATATAGTATATATGCATATATGTATATGCAATTAGAGGCAAATTTCACAGATTTTTGCTCTAGTTTATGCGTTGCTCAATGTATGTATGTCAGGTTTACACTCATGAAGTTCAAGTTTGTGAAGTGCAAATTGTCATTGAATACCTGAAGAGCATGAATCGTTAATAGAACGATGCTCATGACTTCTATATA